GTAGCTCCATATTATTACAGAGCAAGTCAATCTCACTGTCTTAGATTCATCTTCATTTCACTGCATTCAATTTCCTCTTCTCTACCTCTAAAATACTCTGTCAATTTCCTCTTCTCTACCTCTAAAATACTCTGTATCTTCACCTATGCTCTTCGTATAGGGCTAACGGAAGGGGAATTAGAGAGGGGTTTCATTCAGTCTACTATTTACTAGGTATAAGCCTCGGGTTGTTTGTTGAAGAAACTAATGACAGTGCCTAGCATTATGAATATCATTGTAATATAGGAGTTCAATCAATCATATGAAATGTTTTCGTTCCTTTCTAACACTAGCCCCATTCCCTTCTACATTTACCTCTTCTACTACTCAGATGATCAAGTTTCATAGAAAAATAATAAATTTCCATAGATAACACTTGCCTCACTTTATCCCTATGTCCTACCAATAAACTCTTCAAGTGCAGGATCCACTGCCCACTTTCTCGGCTATCAATCTTCAATCCATTGCAATCCAGCTTTCTCCTCTACCTCTCTACTGACATTGTTTCACAATAGTCACCCATGTCTTCTTACATTCAATGACTTCAGTCTTCATCCTGCTAAACCTGGTCAACTTGTGACAGCATTGTCTACCTTCCCCTGCACCAAACTCTCTCTCCTCTTGGCTAATTTTTTCCCTACATTAGGCTGCCACGGTTTTCCTCTCTGTATCTATCTGTTCTTAGTTTCCAGCTAGCTGCCTGCTAGACCTGTCTCCATATCCCTGTCCCATAAAAAAAATCAAACTCAACATGACCAAAACAGAACTTAATCACTCCCAACAAAAGCAGACTTCTGTAATATCCCCTAATTTCACTTTCATCTCTTCCCTCAAATCCAGTCTACACGCAGGAGCCAGAGGAATCCTTTAAAATAAAAATCAGAAGCCGGGCTCGGTGGCTCAGCCTGTAATCCCACGCTTTGGGAGCCCGAGGGTTCGAGACCCGCCCGGGCAATTTGGGGAGCCCTCATCTCTACAGTAAATCAAAAAATTAGCCGGGCGTGGTAGCGCGCGCCTGTAGTTCCAGCTCCTTGGAAGGCTGAGGCGGAAGGATGGCCGGAGCCCAGCGGGGTCGAGGCTGCGGTGGCTGGGAGCGGCCACTGCACTCCAGTCTGGGCGACAGAGTGAGACTCCAACTCAAAAAAATAATAAATAAATAGATAAATAAAAAGCAGATCTATCACTTCCTGGATTAAAACTAACCGCTACCTTCCCTTTTCTCTTAGGACAAAATACAAACCCCCAAACCATGGCCTAAAAAGGCCACCAAATCTGGTCCTATCTATATCTCCGACGTCATCTCCTAACTGTCTTTTTAAAAGACACTTTAGATACACTGGACTTCTTAATGTTCTTTAAACAGGCGTTCCCATTTTAGAATCTTTGCGTTGTTCTTTCGACCTATCAAGCATACACAAGAAATAGTGTAATGTCTAAAGTTCCCCGTATATTTTAGGAAACAATAATCTGGCCCCAACCCACATTTCCAACCTCATCTCTCCTGTCCTATTCCTATTTACATTCTCACCACACAGTACATCGTTTATATATTAAGGATCAAAAAGCTACAAGTCTGTTTTTCACATCAGTGAAAATCTCACTTTTTTAAAATGCGATAGTACCTAGTTATAGAAAAAGACTCAGTAAAACAGCAGCCAAACGTCTTGCACTCACATCGCAGTGCAGAGTTGTGGAAAGGAGGCCAATCTGCAGCCCCGGGCTTTAATTTGCCAAAACGCCTGAAGCCCGGGCTTCCGCGCCTGCCCACGACGTTTCTTGAATTTGACAAACTACCAACAAGCGATGTTTCCTGATGAAAGAAGACGATCATAACCGCCGAGGAACGGCGTCACCGGAAGAGCGTTTTGCCCAGATGCCCGCCAAGTCCAGGGAACGAGAGAGCGGAGACAGCGCCAGCTGCGACCATAAACTTGAAGCACAGGCCGCACAGCGGCGTTCAAACCTCCCCGCGCCCTCGGGAAGCGTCCTTACAATGGAAACCGGAAGTCCCGCCCCTCCGCTCCTGGGGCCACGCCCCACTGCTCGCTCGGCGAAGGGCGGGACAGGAAGCGAGAGAAGGGAAGGTGGTGGTTCTCAGCGAATGGGGTCGGCATCCCTTTGGTCCTTACTTCCGGTTCCTCTCACAGAAGGGGTCCTTTAATAAAGGCTGATGGAGGTTAACCTCCCGAACGGTTCATCCAGGAGCTAACTATATGGTGGATTTTAGTGGAGTGATGCTTAAATAATCTATAAACAACAATTATACTTCATAAAGGTGTTAAAAAAATTTGGCCAAAGATGGAGACCTCTTCCTATTTTGGTATCAGATTAGTTCTTCTAACTATGTATCTGCACATTTATTTTTCTAAAATTCCAAGTGCACCTCTGCTATATTTAGTTATTGCCCTTAAACAAGTATTTATGGGGCACTTACCAGGTGCATGGGCATGGTGGGGATAAAGCAGGGGAAGTAAGCTTCCAGTTCCTTGGGGGTGAGGGTGAGGCTAGAGATTAACTGGAAAGAAAGATTAAACAATCATTTGATTACAGTTGTGTTTCTAAGATAAAAATAGAGGTATGTGAGGGCATTTACAGGAATACCTTGTTTTATTGTGCATTATATTGCACTTTGCAGATACTGAGTTTACTGCAAATTGAAACTTTGTAGCAACCCTGCCTTGAGCAAGTATATGGGCATCATTTTTTCAACAGCATGTGCTCACTTTGTGTCTCTATATCACATTTTGGTAATTCTGACAATATTCCAAACTTTTTCATTAATATAATTTTTATGGTGATCTATGATCAGTGATCTTTGATGTTACCATTGTGATTGTTTGGGGGCAACACAGACCACACTCATATAAAATGATGAATAGAGAAATATTGTGTGTGTGTCTGACTGCTTCACTGACCAGCTATTACTGTCCCTCTCCTTTGGCTTCCTTATTCCCTGAGACAAAGCAATATTAAAATTAGGCCAACTAGTAACCCTGCAGTGGCATCTAAGTGTTCAAGTGAAAGGAAAAGTCACACATAAACCACTTAAGTCAAAAGCTAAAAATGATTATGCTTTTGAGGAAGGCATGTTGAAAGACAACACAGGTCGAAAGCTGGGACTCTTGTGCCAAACAGTTATTCAAGTTGTGAATGCAGAAGAAAAATTATTGAAAAAAAAATTTAAAATGCCACTCCAGTAAGCACACAATTGTTAAGAAAGCAAAAAGCCTTATTGCTGATTTAGAGAAAGTTTGAATCTTCTAGAGAGAAGATCAAACCAGCCACAACATTTCCTTAAACCAAAGCCCAATCCAGAGTAAGGCCTAACTGTCTTCAATTCTGTGAAAGCTAAGAGAGACGAGGAAACTGCAGAAAAAAGTTAGAGGCTTGCAGAGGTCAGCTAATGATGCTTAAGGAAAGAAGTCTTCTCCATGACATCAAAGCGCAAAGTAAAGCAAGTGGTGATGTGGAAGCTGCAGCAAGTCATCCAGAAGATCTAGTTAAGATCATTGATGAAAGTGTCTACACTAAACAACAGAGTTTCAGTGTAGATGCAACAGCCTTTTATTGAAAGAAGATGTCAGGCCGGGCATGTGGTTCAAGCCTGTAATTCCAGCACTTTGGGAAGCTGAGGCAAGAGGATTGCCTCGGTTCAAGGGTTCGAGACCAGCCTGGGCAACTTGGTGAGACGTCATCTCTGCAATAAATCCAAAAATTAGCTGGGTGTGGTGGCACGTGCCTGTAGTTCCAGTTACTTGGAAGGCTAAAGTGGAAGGCTCACCTAACCCCAGCAGGTTGAGGCTGCGATGACCATGAGTGTGCCACCGCACTCCAGCCTGGAAGGCAGAGTGAGACTTCAACTCAGAGAGAGAGAGAGAGAGAGAGAGAGAGAGAG